TAGATGCTAGCATTGCAGATTCGAATGCGAAAGTACAAAAAAATAATCATGCTCCCATTCCTTGTGGTAATGGTAAGTTTTCAGTCTCTTTGCTTCATCATTTTCACTCATGACGAAGCTATCAATAGGCAATCAAACTTATCAAACTGTTGGCAAATTTGTCACAGCCAATCTGTTTTGCTCCACTATGTGCTGTAGCGAATTTCGGGGTTTGTGCAGCAATAACCAGAGAAAGTTATTGGGTAGAAAATACAACACTCTGTATTTACGGAGCTCCTGTAGCCTTTTTCCGGTGTCACCCAGCATTCAGGGAAGAGACTTTTTCAACACATTTGACAAGGGTTAAACACACACAAGGGCAGTAAAATTTACGACATTACATGCACAGATCTAAATACATTTTTAGACTAACAAAAAAAGTAAATAGTCAAATAGGCCATTTATTTTTTATTATTTTTTGCGATTGATTGACTGGTAAATTGCAATCGATTCATTTGGCACCCCTGTTTTATATGATTTTAGCTGGAAAAATAAATGTCACAATTTGAAAAAAAAAACAACTCTTACTCATAAACAGGATCGAGGTGGCCTACATATTCTTTTAAAACTTCAAAATTATGTTTTTTAAATTAATTGGATTAAAATTATCTTTAAAAAGGCATAATCCCTAAATTTGTTATTGAGAGGGTGGGTGGACTTGAGTTTTTACTAAATTAGACTAAATTACTAAATGAGAATGACATATAATTAAATGTTTCAGAATTTTTGGAGACCTTTAAGGTTCCTGTTACACCCCAAGAATATGCAATAGTGTTTGATGCTGTTCCTAGAGGTGTTATTACTCTCATTAGGGGCAATAATGGCTATTATTGTAATTACTTCACCAATCAATTTACATCTATTGTCTTATTGGGTGGTGTTAACAGTTTAGAAAATAAATGTAATAATAATTATATAAAGAACATATGTTTACCAAAATATAATCCACCTGCAAAGACTTACTGGAATTCTAAATTTAATAATATTAATTGGCAGAAAGTATGTAAAATGGCGAACATATATTGTCTTATCAATAAAATTACAGTCATATATTATTATTCATAAAATGTATCTTGTTAAACAAACATTATCCAGATTTAAACTCAACTTAAATGATCAATGTGTATATTGTAACATGAATAAGAAAACCAGGTCATTTGTTTTATCAATGTGTTCAAACCAAAAAGTTCTGAAGTGATTTGGAATATTTCTTATTAAAATCTTTACATATTCAGGTTTCTTTTAATGGGTTTGACACCTTA